ATCAAACACTCCATCACCACCACCACCCAACCTAACAACACTCACGACCCTACCCATCCTACCTAACCCTACGACCTACTACCGCCCCTATCCAACACCAACCAAACCAGACCCTGACCCCAGTCCCTACTCACCCACCATCACCCCAACCATATCCACCCCCCTGTTTCCTACCCCACCTCCACCCACAAACAACCATCCTAAGCTCCAACTAAACCACCACCCCAAGCACCATCCAAACCACCACTCGTTAACAACCATCCTACCCATCTATCCAAACCACCTACTAAACCTCGACCACATTACCACCCCACCCACAACTAGGGGTGCTCAAAAACCCGACCAACCCGATCAACCCAATCCAACGTAAAATAACCCAATTTGAAGCAAACCGATGTCTAATCGAGTTGTAAAATTCTCAAACCATAGATGTTGGATTGATATTGAGTTACTATTGTTTGAACCCAACCTAACCCGATGAACCCGATGTCCTTTTATTTTTGGATTTAATATGACTATTGAATTTCTATTAATATGTACGTTAGACAATTACACCATCATGCATGCTTTTCATATACACATATTTTCAATATATTCACATCTTTATATAACTCATTCGTATATATGTTCAGTAACTGTGAACATATATATGTAAAATGAGAAAATTAACTGAATGTGATATACGTAAGAAATATGGATAAGTTGTATCAAATGGTTGATGATGAAAAAAAATTTATTAATAGAGAAATAACATATTCAAGGTTAAAAAATATTTTAATGTACCAAAGTATCAACCCGTACGAGTTGGGTGGGGTTGGGTTAAGATTTTTCAAACCGCAAGCATTGGGTTGGGTTGTTCAAATGTCTCCAACCCGATCAACCAACCCATGAGCACCCCTACCCATAACCTCATCAAATTCCACTATCATTAACGACCCCACCCACCACCACCCCCAACCATGTCAACCACCACCCAACCCGACACCACCTACCATCCTACCTTACCAGCCCCACCCCACCCCTACCCTACCTGTAGCCACCTTACTCCCGCCCTCACCCAACACCACCCTACCACTTACATTACGTCGCCTCTCCCGGGCCCCCAACCCACTTTTACCCTACACACCACGTCTACCACCACCCATACTCCCCGCCATACTACTCTCCATCCCCTACCTTACTAGTCCCTACCCAGGCACAACCACCCCCACCCTCGACCATCCCACACCACTCTCATCCTTAAGCACAAAACTTACCAACAATCACCCTACCCTCATACATAAACCACTGACCCACCCCTTACCATCCCACCACCCACCGTAACCACCATCAACCACCCAAACTTTACTCTACCCACCACTACCCCCACCCACAACCACCACCACCCTTACTTACTACACTACCAACCTTATCCAAATCTACCATCATCAAACAATCCACACACCTCCGTACCCCTCATCCCTCCGCTACCTACCATACGCTCTTGTACCACCCTAGTTTTTCCCCTCCCCTAATCCCACCCTTCCCCTAGTTCCTTCCCTCACCTCAACCAACTACCTACCACCCACCCTACATTATGCGCATCCATCACCCAACCCCCACCCAACATCAGCACACCCTTTACTTTAACTACCCTACCTCCCATCCTCATTGACTCCACACCCATCCATCATCACCATACCCACCAACCACATACCCTAACCATCACAACTAACCACCCTTCCCATTGACACCTAACACCCCACTTTCTCTACCCCCACATAAAAAACACTATCTATCCATCAATCAGTGTTGTGGTGGAGTGGTTAGTGCCTGTGCAGTTCATAGCGCTGAACCCAGGTTCAAATTCCTCTACGCACATCCTGTGCGACATTTACCAAAGGGGCATGCTTAGCCCTGGATGTGCCTGGGATTAGTCGAGCTTCGGCTCGGATACCCTTTCAAAAAAAAAAAACAAGTGTTCATCCCTAAACAATATGTTGCAATATTGTATGTTCCCAAAATATGATTATAATTTTGCCTTTATTCAAAAATACATTTACTTTTGAAATTATTTACTTTTACTTCATATAATTTCCTCCGATCATGTTTTCTTCCTCTCTTATAGCAACAATAGATTTAAAAAAAATACAATAATAAGTTATTACTTATTTTTTTTAGAAACATCAAATTTTATAAAGAAACCACCAAAGGCTAGCAAGATGCTAGCACTTATAACAAAGCCGCTAAAAGGTTGATACACCAAGCATTCCAATCAAGAGTATTACAAGACTTCGATCTAATAATCCAATTATAAGTTATTACTTATTACTGTTGTTTCAAGTAGACTTATGATTGTCTTTAAAATGTTTTCGTAGGGTTTTTTTTTCTTTCCGATTTTTATTTTTTTAAGTTTTCATTCATATCTTTCTATTATGTGTCCATCTAGATCTCCAAAATCTCACAGTATTTATATCCAAAAAAATAAACAACTTTGAAAACTCATCTCGATCTAAGTTACGAGTTAAAAATTTGACATCCAAAAGTTTAATACGGAAGGACACAATGAAATATGATTTTGTAAAACAAAAGTGTTACCCGTTCATCATTCATGTCTTTTAGGCTTTATGTGATCATTTAGCTCTTAAAAATTAGCAACTTAAACAACTCTTTCGATCCGGGAAACCATATAAATTTTGACCCATAACTTGAATGAATTTCGTTTTATTTTAAGCAACTTATTTTTTTGAAATCAAAGTGCTGCAAAAAGTCGGTGATATGGATGAAAACAAGAAACCTAGAAAGACAAAAATGAATATGTAACCCCTTACATAATACCTACTTTATAAGAAAAGTAATTTTGACTCGTTACTTGAATCAAGGATAATAAATATTACTTATAAAGACACGAATGAATGCGTAATTTTTTGACTCGTAGCCTTTTTCGTAATGTTTTTGAGGGACCATAAAATTTTACTCGTATTTAAGATCAAGATAAATGCATTAGTGTTTTTCTAGTATTATAAACACAAATTATTTTCGTAAACCGCAGGGACCAAATTTGCGTCTAACTCTTTGTTTAAATTCAAAGAGGGACCAAATATGTTATAGACTAGAATTTGTTAATAGTTGGAGGGAGGTGAAGGGTAAATGGACGAAATTGCCCCGTCTTAAAGCCGTTTTATTTGACGGTGTTAAATGCGTGGATCTTATCGGTTATGAAAATGAAATGCGAGGGATGTTGCATGCTAAAAATTCTTTTGAGGGACGTATGCGTTAAATTTTGTATATCACAAGGACCAAATTTTCGTTTAACTCTTTATTAATAATACCAAATGTGAAGGAAAATTTTGATATAATTAATGGTAGTTAAAAAAAACTAGATTCGTATATAGGAAAACTATATGAAGGTTGTTGCATGGATAATGGTGGTGGCTGTTGGACGACGATGACTGTGGAAGACGTGAAGATGGTGGATAGTGCTGGTAGTGGCGATCGACAATGGTGGAGGAGGTAGTTTGTGGACAATGGTGGAGGAGGTAGTTTGTGGGCAATGTCGTGGTGGTTTTGGTTGAGGTGGAAGTTGTAGTGGAGGTGGCTAACGGTGGTCAACAGTGGCCATAACTAATGATGGCGACGGCTACTAGCGCTAGTGACTATTAAATCATATACCACATTATATATATATATATATATATATATATATATATATATATTTGAGATTATGTGAGAACAATGGTTTTTCGTGAGATCCATAAGACCAATTCTCAATCCTTGGATTAGATCTACAATCTGAACATTCATAATCACAAAATTGCCACGAGACTTCTCAATAATCACAAAATTGCCACCGTACAATTTTAGACCATTAGATCATTAGTTTATAAAGTTGATCAATGAACATAAATTGGTTTTACGGGTCTCATGAAAACCCTTGGTCTCACATGAACCCAACCCTATATGTATATGTATATATATATATATATATATATATATATATATATATATATATGCGAAGAATCGTGTAAATAAGAGTTAAGGTGAAAAACGTAAGAAATGATTTAGAATTTGATCATCTTTAATGTCGAACTCATCTGTGAACCGTACTTGATACATGGATTGGTCCGGTGTATCTCATCCTAATATGCATCCAATGGTGGAGATCATTTCTCACGTTAAGTTAACTTCTTACTAAGGTGTCGTTTACCAAACGCTTACTCGGGTAAGCGCTTACCAAGTCACTTTACTTTACCGGATGAATATGTCAAGGATTAAAAATCTTACCCGGTAAAAACGAAGGCAATAATCGAGAGTAGGGATGGTGATTTGGCCCGACCCGGTGGGGAACCCGGTTCATCCGACCAGGACGGGGACGGGGAATCCCCGCTAAAACGGGTACCGGGGCCGGGGCCGGGGATCCCCGGTAGAGGCAAACCGGGGTTGGGGCCGGGGCCGGGTATTGTATCCCCCGACCCGCCCCGTACCCGGTATATTAATAAATAATAAAATAGTTATTTGGGCTTTAGGTAAATGGACTGTTACTACTTATTTGTGTTTGGGACTTTTGTGTTTGGGCCTTTTGGATTTGGGCTTTGGGTGTTGACCGGGGGTTGACCAGGGTTGACCGGGGCCGGGGACTCTATATATAAACCGGGGCCGGGGACTCTATATATAAACCGGGGCCGGGGTCGGGGATTGCAAACCCCGCCCCATCCCCGCCCCGTTGCCATCCCTAATCGAGAGTCTTACCCGGTAAGTAAGGACGATGACTCTTACCATGGTTAATGTTTACTGGGATAAATTGTTGCATACGATACGTTTTAGTGAATAAAATCTTACCTACTATATAAACGATATTGTTGAATTTTACCAATAAGTGCTTACCAGATAAGGTTGAAGAAGAGAAGTTTTATTTGGTTGAACAAAATTAAACGGATTTTGTTTGGTTGAAAGGTGGGTAAAACCAGAGTCTGATGAAATAATAATCAAGTGGAATTGGGAGGATGGCAAGTCCACGCCTGCGAATTACGAATCTCTCTATATATTCATCCTTGCTGCTAACCGCTTCCATGTCACTTGTCTTCTCCAGAGATGATCATAACCAGATCCCCAATCCAATCCTTTCTATCATTCTTCCTCAAGATCCATCCCCACGAAATCTACACCGTTTTCTACTCCACATCTTCTTTCTTCTTTGTAATTTTCCTATCCATTTTTACCAATCATCTTTCTTGGGAATTCCGAATTCCATTCTGATCTTGTTTGATTATCATTTGCAGGTTTTGAGTGCTTATTTTGTGGTTTTGCCTTTACGGGATGAAGGTGCTATATCTTTAGGCATAGGGAATCTACCCGGACTCTTTGCGGGATCCTTGATACTTACATTGATTGCTGCCCCTCTTTCCACCCTCATCTTTTCATTGCCTAATCTTCCTAAACCTAAGGTACATATTCAAATTATTCATTTCCTGCTCATCTCTCTCTATTTTCACTAGCTATTGCAATAAGTATGCTCAAATAATGGCCAAGATGATTTTAGGTTCAAACCAACTATGGATTCCAAATACATTAGTGATTGAAAAAAAAAAGAGTAGTTATGCTTATGTTATTATTGGCAATGGTTGTATGTGAAATGCTTGTTGATAAATGAATGACGGAGAGTAGTTGACCCTGCTTTATATGATCTGAATTTCTATTAAGAATCAATTTGTTCTTTATGTAACTTTGTCATGGGTGTAAATGTAAGAGCTTAGAGATTAATTTTCTAACCCACATGACACTTAGTGATCTTGTTTTCAAAGATTGTTAACTAAGCCTAAGAAGGAACAGGTTATGAAAGCACTTGCAAGCAAAGTCACGACTTAAAAGAGAGAACATGAGAGTTCAAGAACTTGGAGAATGCTAAGGAAACTCATTATTTCTCTAAGTATGAAGTGATTACAAATGAAGGGGGAGTCCTATTTATACTTGGGGCCTCCCGTTATTTACATATGTTACAAAGGGATCTATGCATAAAGCTTTTAGCATACAAATGAATAAACATCTCCCGATGTTTCTTATCCAGATATTTTCAAGTGTTGGGTGCGCTAAAGCAATCTTTGATTGGGCTTCCAAGTTCGGGCCTCAACACCCTCCTCAATCGAACTGGCGATGTCCTCGTTGCACCTTTGTATTTGTTGTGACTTATGTAATCGATGAGTTGTTGTAGTGACTCTTTTAGTTCCCCACATGTCTTGTCTTCCACTTGATCCTTCCATCTCACTAAGTAGTCTTTATACTTTGACATGCCTCATCCTTTTATAACGTGGTTGGCCAAGATACAATTGATTCATATGATCTGTTCTTTGCAAGTTGATGAGTTGTTTCTGGTGTGAGGCTCCAATAATGTTTTGGGATGCTTTTGTTCCTTAACATGCACGTCTATGTTGTCTCACTAGTAGTCTACCAAGTCATACTAGAGCAATGTTTGAGGCCATGGGAGATCATTAAAATAACCGTAGAAAATGCTAGTGCTAATGATGCGGTGGTGACATATATGAAGAGAATGTTTGATGGAGATTTTCAGCATGTGAGATGTGCATGCCACATTATCAGTTTATACTGAAGGACGGTCTAAAGGAGTTAACAAACTCCCTTAACTTGTGAAGTCCTTGCAATGACTCCCTTAATAGTGTTGCCACTATTTGGAATTGTGCCAAGTATGTTAGGAGTCATTGCAAGGACCTCACAAGTTAAGGGAGTTTGCTGTTATGCAACAATGCAAGGTAAATGCCAATATTTCATTAGTTGTCATCAGTAGATGGAATAGCACATATGCTTGAAGCTGCACTCAAGTATGAGAGTACTTTTACCTGAATGGGTGAAGAAGATGTGCATTTAAGAGTTATTTTCAAGAAAAAGACAAAGATGGAAATGTAAGGGTTAGCCCACATCTAATGATGACCCAAGGAATGCAAAAGCCTTTTGTGTGTGTTTTGAAGAAGTTTTATGAAGACTTAGTGCTTGGAAATCAATTGCTACAAGCATATTGTTTGCTGAAATGATTACATCCCTGACGGAGATGGACAAGGCTATGCTTGCAGAAGATGTTGTTTGAAGAGGGTTGCAACTTCATTGAAAGCCAAGTTCAACAAGTATTGGGAAAATTTCGAGTAAACCAACAAGATTGTCATGATAGCATATGTTCTCGATCCTAGATACAAGTTGCAGTGGGTTAAAGTAGCTATGAAAAAGTTTAATGTAAGCTATTTGACAATTTAGTGAATACAAGGGGACTTGCAAAGAATATCGGTGATGATGTATGATGAATACAAAAGAGTTGAGACTGGGGAGCATGACCAACATGATTAGGGAATGAGGTTAATCGGTATTTATCATATAGGTATAGGTATTGATGGACAAACTCACTATTCGCTTGCCTGTCACGACAAAGAACAACTGCTATGAAGGCTGCTACAAGGGAGAATATATAAGCGGGAGAACAAATAGAACTAGAGGAACCACACCAGTCCATCCTGAACTTGGTGGTTAAACTCTACTGTCGTGACGATATTGTAGGGGAGGTCCTGCAAAAAAATAGCTCGACTCCGTCAACCTTTTTGTGAAGAATTTGGAAATTCCCACAAGTGGTGGAACAACAATGATTCAACCTTTCGAGTTCTATCAAAGTTGACAAATCAATATCTTTGTTGTTCCTTGCTCACAATGGCTTCATGCCTTCAATGATAGCATTTAGTTAAGGGTCAAGATATGTGGATCCTTTCAAAGCTTCATTGACACCAAAAATCGTAGAGGCCCTTGTTTGCAGAAATGATTGGTCAAGAGTTCCTCCCCAAAACTTCATCTAATATGAAGATTCCACAGAAGACTCCCTAAAGACTCACTATTAGTTGAAGGAACTTGGAGAGGCTAGCTATTTTGGAGCCTGAGTACAAACCCAATATTCTCTTGTTTGTTATTCTCTTGATGCATTGCTGTTGTTTGTTTGTAAAGAATGTTTTCAATCAAGGGTATGAGGTAGCAAGGAATACCATGAACAATAACTTTGTTCGATCTAATGTCTAGCATTCCTGCAGCTTGCGCTACATACTTATAACTTATTGTCTTGTTGCTTAATATGCTTTTAGATTTGGACAATTTTTCCACATGTTAATCAGTTGGTGTTGTTTGAAACATTGAATTGATTATTGAAGCATTGAACATCGATCGTGTTTATTCTTTTTTTTTTGTATTCTATATTCAACTTTATAGGTTTGTGATATTGGTATTATGATATTACCTACTTGTACCAATTGAAATTATTGGTAGCCAAATAAGTTGGTATAAGGACTTCCATAGTTGTATTGGTAGTTGATTCTGCCTACTAACTATAGTTGGTATGGTACTTGTCTTAGGAAAAAACATGGTACCGTATTATGTTCACCCTATATAGGAATGTGGGGCATCTCCGATCTCCGTATCATCATCGATTCATCGGATGCCCCCATAGCCTCGACATATTGTCCAATCCCAAGATGAAGTTCTCAACCATTGTAGTATTATACCAAGTACCATTGTACATGTACGGTTTAGGTACCTTTAGGTGTGGAATGGTGGCCTCGTGGGCACTAGTGTTGCTGTTGCCAGGGATGGAAGAGCATCCATTTTCTACACACCTCATCCATTTCTTCTTATATTCCCTGGAGTTCATCTTCAACAAACTTTCGTAAGCTGGTGAGTTTTGGAACATAGTCCTCATTTCTTTCTTTAATTCATGACCAAGGTCGCCTATCATTGTCTTGGATGCTTCGAAGATCTCGACATTCTCTTGGGTGAGCAACTTGGTCTTTCCTCGGTTTCTCCCACAGTCCCAAATGTACCTTGAGCTCTTCAATGAGTATACAAGGTTTGAAATGTGGGACTTCGTTGTTTTGTCAGAGATTTGTAGGTGGTCTTGATTTGCTTTCCTTGAAGTGGCTCCTTGGTGGGTTTCGATCATGTACGACTCCGTGAACTTGGCATGGACCACACCGTCTTCTCTTGCCATCACGCTAACTCTTACTCTTAGAAAACAAAATGAGTACCTAGGATGAAACTGTTGCTTTGGCACTACCTCTCATGGGTTAATTTTCTAACCTACAAAACACTTGGCGATCTTGCTATCGAAAATGCTAAGTAAGCCTAAGAAATAATAAGAGTTCGCTTAAGACCCTCCAAGTTCTTGAGGTCTCTAGTTCTCTCTTTAAATAAGGGGGAGTGGCCTATATATATTTGGGCCTCCCCTTGTGTAAACATATTATGAAGGGACCTATTCATAAAGGTTCTTGTATGCAAATGAATAGATATCTCTTGATGTTTCTTATCTAGATATTTGTAAGTGGTGGGTGGGCTTAGGCTTCCAACTTCAGGCCGTAACATTAGTCTCATTCATATCATGTCTACTTTGTTGCCAAGGGTTATTTCCAAAGATGTTAATGTGAGTGAATTAATTAATACTACATAGATGGCAAATGAATTAATAACTAGAACTGCTGTCTTGTAGCATAAGTGCTGATGGAATGAATTCACTGAACATGCAATCTGATCAAATAACTTAATCATCTTGTTCAGCTGGTTATATTCTTGATCTTTGTTTTACTACTTCAAATAATAGGGACTTAGCTAAGTAAATCTTATTCTGGAAACCATTGATACCTTCATATTAGTAGTATACACCAAGCTAAGATACTTCATTAATCATTGTTCACTTGTTCTTTCTTCTCTTTTTCTTCTTCGGATCCCCTACTGCATTTTGTTGATTTCAGGCGTATCACATGTTTTAGACTACAATTATCGTGTTTATCATTAATCTGTTCCACATGCCACACTGACCAAGAGCAACAAACATCTAAATGTGTGTAATTCACTAATTTGAGGTATAAGAGTTCATCACAGGACTATTTATGGACTCCTATTTGGCGTTGTAGATATATGTTAGTCCTGGATTGTTAACAAGTTTTTGTTGAATTCCAGGCTTTAGTTTTGATGCACAGGTTCTTTAGCGCAAGTCTTGTGCTGTTTTTCATTTTATGGGTGCTATCTTCTCCTGCAAATACATTCCCCGGTTTTAAGGTACAGATAAAATCCATTTTAGATTGTGGCTTAAGATGCTCTTTCTTACATTTGCGTCGAGTAATTTATACGTTTTTAGGGTTTCCTCTCCATGTCATCCACCATAAAAGAGGAACTAAAAATTGAAACTCAACCTGCCTCTACAAATTCTACTGACTGGGGCAAGCATGGATGGTTTTACGTTTCTGTGAGAATAGGCTTCTTTTTATGGGTATCAGTCTGTTCTCTTTTGAACTCTGCTATATTTCTTTCTTCCAGTTTTTGTCGTTGATAATCACAATCAATAAAACTGCAGTTTCAAAAGTAATTTCCGCTCCTTTTGTCCAGATTGCTCTGCTAAATCTTATAACTATATCTTCAACTTGGGCAAGAGTCATTGATGTGATGGACAATGAGGTATGTGTGCTCCCATGTTACAATTATGTCTTTGCTTTGGTGTTTGTGCATGCTTTAACTCCATCTCTTATTCAGTCAGGTTCAAGACTGTTTGGATTTATTGGTGCCGGTGCTACTTTTGGTCAGCTTTTCGGTTCATTGTTTGCCACTGGAATGGCTTGGTTGGGACCATGTATGTTGCTCTCTCTGTTTTTGCGAAATGGTTTTGCAATTAATCTGCATATATATATATGTGTGTGTGTGTGTGTATTTTGCATTCATTTGTTAAGTTTCATTTCTCGTATTCAAATTACTTTTGCCTCTTTTCTTGCCAGATCTCTTGCTATTTGCTTCCCTCTTGATGGAACTTGCTGCACAGTCCTCCAAAGGGATCAATAAGGATATAGCTAATCCTTCTGAAGAACTAATTCCACTCGGGTTCTTATTTTTTCAATTATTACTTTCATGATTCATTGGTACAACATAGCTTAGATTCTTGAGTTCCCATAGTACACGCGAGCTACCCCCACATCTTTATTCTTTACACGTCATACAAAAAGGACCCACAAAATGGAAATGCTTAATGCCTTAAATGAACAACATTTTTCTAGCAATGTAGTTGCTATCTGAAATTGTTCTCGAGTTTAGCACTTGAGTTTTGATATACAAACCCCTTTAATAAATGAAAGTTTCATTGCCTAATCCAGAAGTTTACTCTCTTCGCTTCATCCTTTGTTTTGTTTTCTAGAAAAACCGAAGTTGATCAGCAGGATGTGATCAATGAAGTAGATGTATCTGACCGCCAAGAATCTTTGCCGACAGCTAAGAGTTCAGCTATTGATTCATCAAAGCCTCAGTTCTGGGCTTTACTGGATGGATTTTGGCTTATTTGGTCATCCAATTATTTGTTGTGTGTGTCATTGTTCTTGTGGCTAAGTGCAATGACCTCTTCTTTCTTCTACTTTCAGGTAAAAACAGGCCTTATTTGTTGTCTGGTTTGTATGCATAATCTATTCTAAACATTCGTGCTCATTTATCTTCTTCTCTTTAATTGCAGAAAGTAACAGTGATTGCCTCAACAGTTACAACCGCTACTGGAAGACGACGATTGTTTGCGCAGATCAATAGTTTTATTGCTGTTTTTATCCTCGCTGGACAGCTTACTTTAACGGTATGCTATCTGTGAAATTTAGTTCTCATGGTCGAATTTTCCCAAATTAACGTATATTTAGCTTCTAGAGCACATGTATGGTCTTCTTTAAACATAATAATAACTTGCCCACCTTCAAAAATATTATATTGATCTTACATCTGAAAAGTTATCATGTTCTTTCAAAGTTCAATGTATATTTTCTTTTTCCTTTATCTTTTTTCAAGAATGATGATTTGATTGCAACGAAAGGTCACGTCAGGTTTAAAAAGTCAATCAACTCGATTTTTTTTACTTTCAGTTATTGTGTAAAGAATGATAATCTGCAACTGTAATGTTTCTATATTTCTTCTGTTTACTTGTAGGGACGGATTCTTACTGTAGCTGGGGTTACTATAGCTCTTTGCGCTGCACCATTCACTGCGTTCTTGAATTTAATCGCGATTGCCGTATGGCCAACTTACTTAGCAATTGCTGTCTCAGAGACCCTTCGGAAGGTTTACCTTTCTCCTTGCTATACTGTTGTACTTTGATCAAACTCGAATGTTTTTATATGTTATGATGCGACTTTACAACTTATTTTTGTTAAAAATGAATGAATTCCAATGCCCACTGCTTTTATAATTTGTCATTTTGCAGGTAGTAACATATGTCGTAACTAGGCCAGGAAGAGAGCTACTATTCACTGTCGTCACACAGGATGAAAAATATAAAGCTAAGGTACCCTGGCCTCCATCCCCTGAACCCCCCCAAAGAAACCAAATATGAAAATGAAGGTTACCGGTAACACAGCTGTTGTGCCAATGACTCTTTGGTATGAAATGGCGTTTTTTCTTTACAAGATACACATTTATCACAGGTTTGCATAGATGTCCTTGTCCAGAGGTTTGGAGATGCTACTGCAGCTGGGATGTACAAGCTACTTCACACCAAGCTCGATGGCAAAACAACCCACATTTCTCTTTATGCGTTGCCCGTATGCTCCAGCATTCTATCAACTATTATTTACTTTATTATGCTCGAGAGGAAACACTTATTTTTCTTTTTATCTTCTTCAGGTCTGCGTTTTATGGGTTTTTATAGGATTCCACTTGGGACGGCGACAGGCACAACTTGCCAAGTCCCAGAATCTCTCGTTCTCCTAAAACACCCTGCTTCTCTCTTGTTTATCAGGTAAATTGTCATCCATTTTGACATCATACGATTGGATCTCTAAATAACATATACCTTCCACAAGTTATGAAACCTTTTGCATCTAACCTGCCAATTGTGTCTCCACCTTGTGCAATTTAAGCTCATTTCCTAATGATAATTGTTATATTTGTATATAGTCTCATACATATACGTCTAAATATATGTACACACTTCTTATAACTGTAAATATCTGTGTCCGTTGACGCACATCTCGATTAATCTTACGAGACTCCAAAGTTAATGGGATTCAAACTGGTGACCAGTTAGAAACAAACTTAAGACACCCACCAGTTGAATTACACCCACATACACACGTTTTTGGTGTGCAAGAAAATCAGAACATCACAACATGGGCATGTTCCATTAAGGGTTTGGTTCATCCATTTCTCATGGATAAGTCTTGTCCACGAGTGAGGCTACTTGTCCTCATATAACTCCAACACATCTCTTTTTACATCATTATTATTGCTGAAAATAAATCTTAACTTTCTGTATCACAATAACCATCATATTTCCAGAAAACTATACATATACATATACATATACATATACATATACATATACATATACATATACATATACATATACAATAATAATGTGGATTGTGGGTGTGGGACAGATTGATTCCTGGATTTCATATTTAATGGGAATAAAGAGTCTTTTCATTTGGATTTAACCAGATCATGAATATTCTGTCCTTTGTTACTGCTAATTAAAATGGATATAAATGCATGTATGTCCTTTTGTTTATATTCCCAATAATCCTTTTTAATTTAATTTAAAACAACACCCAAAATCTAAACATCAAATTATAAGGGTGGTGTCTGATTGATTTGAGTTTGACTCCAAATGTCAAAGGTACTAGAAGGTCCCAGGTTCAAATTCAAGGAGGAATAAAAATTCTCTTGTGACCACAGAGGTTCAAATGTTATGATTCCGGGCTATTTGCAAAACAGGTGGTCGTCCTGGGATTAGTCGGCTCGCATAGCGGGTTGGATATCCAGATTAATAAAAAAAAATCTAAACATTGTTTGTATTGCCAATTGTCACTTTCAATCTGATCGATACTTCCGCATTAAAGAATCTTAGATGAAGATGGAAAATTACGTTTTTCTATGTATCAAGTTTTAAGGGGGTGTTTGAGATTGCTTATAAAAATAACTTATTGACTTATTCTTGTTTGACATCGGTAATAAATACTTTTTCAGTGTTTGGATTATACCGGTGTCAAACCGGTAACAAGGAATTTTTGAAGAAATTATACTCTTCTAACTTATAATAAGTTGATAAGGACTTTTGTAGGAAAACATAAGTTGTTTCAAATAAGCAATCTCAAACACCCCATAAGTGTTTGGTTTGATGACAAGTCAAAAATAACTTGTAAATTTTGATTAGTGTTATAAATATCTTGCACTGTCTGATACGACAATTCAACGGAACAATATTTTGCAATAGCCGGGGAAATTTGAGTTGATGAACAAAGTAAAAAAAAAATATTTCATCTGAGGTCTATACATTTGCAAGAATTTTGAGATCCATTGAACATTATTATATGCTCTTCATGAAGTCAATTTTTTACTAGTAACCTCATATTGAGATAACAATTTTAATTCTTTTATGCTTTTGAGATGTATATATCGTCAAAAGTTTAATATCCATCGAGTTGTTGTCACGTATTTATTGAACAGTTAGCGTTAAAAATTTAGGTGAGAAAATAAAAGATCGTGACAGAGATTCGAAGAAAATAAAGATTCTTGCTTTCTAAGTTTGAATTGTTGAATTTGCATATCATCTTTTTGTGGAAAAAGACAAGATTTTGGTGGAAGGTGGAGATGAGTATTTGTTTGCTCAACATATTTTGTACATGTGCAAGAAAAATATGGTGAGGGAAGGTAAGATTGAGGGGTCGTCTCTTAAACGATAACCAGGTAAATGCTTATCGGGTTCCTTACTTTATCGAGTAATTATGATAAGGATCGAGAATCTTACATGTTTATAGATATGACAAGGACTGATGATCTTTTCCGGTTAGCGTTTTTTGAATGAACACTTACCAACGACCTTACTTTGCCATTTTGATGATCGAGAAGCTTACGCTGTAATGTCAATGAAGACAACGAAGCTTACCACGTTAACGTTTGGTAACGACCCACCCCCTAAGATTGAGAATATACTAGAAAAAAAGGGTATTTTGAAAAGAAAATAAATTTAAAGCATAGTGTTTTAATGATTAAGCATTGATGCATGATTTCCCTAAAGAGGCAAAAGTAAAATTGGATTTAAATGCCACTAATAAGTGTATTTTTTGGCAATTCAAAATAAATGTTATGTAATATGATATCTTTTTCAAAATGTTTGGTGAAATTCAAGATGTTCTTTAAAATAGTTTTGAATTAAAATTAAGAAACCAAAATTTCGGAAAGTATTTTATTAGCCGAGTTTTATATATATACTAGAAGGGTACTCGCGCAATGCAGCGAGATATATATCGATTTTAATGTTTCGTTTTATTCTGTCTCGTGTCGAGGTTATAATACTATTTTATGTGGTTTTGAGAAAAAAGATAATGTTTTTGTTTTTGAAAAAAATATAAATTTGAAGATATCTTAATTTTTTTTTAAATATCGATAGTAGTATCAAATTAACTATTCAAAAGTTCTTGTTTTGTTGTGTAATTTTTTTAATTCAAATTTTCTATTATAATTTAATTTAGGTTTAATAACAAATTAAATTTTTGGTTTAGTAATATAATTTTTTTATAAAGATAATAATTAAGTATTATGTTATAACATAGTGATTATCCTAATTATATTTTAGATTTTTGATATTTAAAATAAAATGTTTATCCAGTATTTGATCATGTTTATCTGCCATTAGTTAAACGAATTCAAACGTGGAGCTTTAATAAGTTGTATTTATGTATTAATTTACTTGTAATTTTGAATTGTAAATAATATATATCAATAAACAGTACTTTGTGTATAAAAAATGGTTTTAAGATTTTTATCAAATGCTTTATAATATAGTGTGTGTGTGTGTATATATATATTATTAAAGGGCTTTTGGCCTAGCGGTATGCGAATCTTTGGTCTCCTAGGAGGTCAGAGGTTCAAACCTCACCAAATATAAAGAGAATGTGTAAGTTTATTTGTTTCATTTATCGTATATAAATATTATATTTTTACTTAATATTTTTTATGGTTTTTAAATCTTAGGCCTCTTTCCGTTCAAAAAAAAAAAAAAACAAAATTCTTAGATTTCTTAAGAGACTGAATTTTATTACCGATAGATAACCAAAGTACAAGTGATTTAATCACATGTGAATGATATTTAATAGATTTGAATAAACATAAAGAAAAATAGGGATTGGGTAAGAAAGGTTGGTGAGGTTTCACCAAACATTGTGCCGGTAGATCAGAAAGAAGCAATTGAACCCAATCTCCATTTATTGACCTTCTCATTAATTGCTTCTTTCTTTTTTTAAATTTTGTTTTTTCCAATGACAAAATACGTTAAAAATAATTTAAACCTATCAAAACTTAGATAAATGATCGTGTGAGAAGAAGAGTTAAGACAGGAAGTGGAAGAAAAGATCTGATCTTTGATCACATTTAATCTCAAACTCACTCATGATTCACGTTTGATATGTGGATTAATCAGGTACATCTCGATGCATCTTATCCTAATGTACATCTAAAAGTGGAGATCTTTTTTTATGCTTTTTACATTAACTCTGTTTCTCATCAAAACCGAACCCTGAAAGGTTATGATATATATGATATTAGAAAAAAAAGGGGATGTGAAACATAAATAATAGTGCCACAAATATGTGTTTCCACCTTCAACTTTAATAGCAATTGATGAAGAGTGGGGTATGCTCACAATTTTCTATAAATGGAATTAACGTAGATTAAAGGGATCCTACATTTACTATTTACTATTTTCCATTTTTATTTTCTTTCGGGTTCAACCACATCTTTTGATTTGCTTATTTGAACGAATGGGAACCCGAAATGTTTATGCAACTACACATACAAACTGTAAATTTGTAATGTTTTATATATTTGGGTAAGAAATTGGTTTATTGGCCGTTCCAACCGATCCTATATGAAACATGTTCTTAAGGACATAAATTTGAATGATGTTTTGATTCTTTATATTAGGAAACAATCAAAACTTTCATGAAATTACATATTTATTATATTACCCAAAAGAGCATATAAGTGTTTTGTTACATACAAATTATATATGAAAATTCATTTATTTTTATAAAGTTTATTTAATGCATTAAGTAAGGTATTTATTTATATGTTTTTTTACAATTTCATGATTTAAACATGATTATATTTTTTATTAATTTATTTTTTATGACATTTAAAATAAGGTAATTTAGTTTTTATCTAAAATATTTATTTTCATTGAAATAATTTATTTAAGATTTTTTAATAATTTTCGTCAAAAATTACATGTGATATTCACAATTATTCTACGTTTTTTTTCCAAAAAAATCATTAATTTTTGTCAAAATATCATCTATATGATGTTGATTATAGTAAATTTAAGTGGACAAAAATGTAAGTTATTTACAACATTACATGTGATATTTGTAAATTATGAACTACGTTTTGAAGTACATGTAATTTTATATATATATATATATATTAAATATGTTTTGTTACACATCATATGTATATGTTTTCATTATTTTCCTTTTTCAATGTTTAATTTGATTCACTGTTTTTCACGCTTTATAAATCACACGTGATTAGAAAAAATTAAAAAAAAGTCAATTAATCAATCACATATCATTTTAACGAAAATTGTAATTTTTTTAAACATTACTTTAAATAAAAAATTAAATTCTTTAAATGAAATTAAAGACGATTATGTTAGATGTATTAAATAGAAAACATTTTTTTTTAAATTAAAAATTTAAACACATTAAAATCACAAGTATGGTAAAAATAGAATCTTAAGTAAATGTATTTAATAACTTTTATATAAATAATTACTTTTATATCTTTATTTATTTATTTATTTATTTTTAGAACTATTTATT